GAGCTAGAGGCATGAAGGAGCTGGCTTTAGCTTTGGATCCGGTTGGTGCAGCCCGCCCTCCAGGTTGGGGCCCATGCGAAGAGGATTTTCGTTGGTTAGAAACGCTGGGAGATATAACCCGGAATACTAGTCAGTGGCGCGAATGCTGTCTGTCTATCCCGTAAAAACAAAACAAAATTAAAGTGTGCGGTAAAACACCCCAAACAAATGTTACTCATTTTATTCGTAATCTGCTATTCCGAAAGCTACAATTTTCCCCCATACTCTCTACCCCACCCCACCCCACCCGGTATCTTATTGTTATAGCTAATATTGTTATGGCGTTTGCGGAAAGCTTGATATCAAGCCGGTGTTAAAAACATAAATGCATATATATACATATGTATTTACAAAAAACTATCAATTTCTACATTTAGTCTCCTCGTGTGACTAGGAACCGCGAAGGTATGTTTCTTATTACATTTTAGTGTTATGTATATGAAATTGGTCATGTCTATATGAATTACTCAAGAAAAAATTATGCCGAATCATCACTAGAATTATAACAGTAGGAGTGCTATTTCCAGAATGATGTTTTGATGATTTCACTGTTTAGCACAAGTCAACAACTGAATCAAAGTCGTAGATTTATTATCAGAGCTACAAGCAAGCTCAAAGCTCTCATGTCCGTTAGATTAACGTTGCATTTCAATGGTTTTTTGAGGGAAACCAACAGGTGTCATATACTCTTTGAATTAGGCAGTGATAACATGATTACAGCTAGCCATGCACATTGAGACAAGTTCGCAACTCTTTCTCGGTTAAGGTGGGCAGCCCCGAGCAACTGAACTAAACCACTGGACCACAACTGAGTTATGGATAAATCAGTTTGTTGCAACATTCACCAGTTCCGGACAGCAGAAGTTTGAAAAACTTGGCCGATAAACCGCTGGACGACAATTTCTCATTGTTGCTCGTATATCGATATTATCAACACAAAACACAGTACCGATTTAAACAATTCTCCATAAATCGTGACGTCAGAGTGTGCTCAGTTTAGCGACTGTGTGCAAATAGTCAGGCATCACAGATTCACCAACTGCTTTTGACAAAAAGGATTTAAAATAGTCTCACGATCACGTGAATCATAATAAAGTTAGTAACTAACCATCGACATGATTTCGAAAAGAAGGCAAGGCACCATATAAAAGCCAGTGTATCCTGCCGCATTGGAAGTCTGAGAAAATGAACCCAGATATCATAAAATTGCTGCTTATTACTTTCTGTATCAGCGGTATCGGCGGTAAGTAACGCATTTCCTCTACAATATGATATCCATCATCAGCTGAGAATTGTGAGGAGGTTACGGCCTCTGTCGATGCAAAGAGCTTCGTTGTAAAAAGCAATGTCACTGGCTGCCAGTACCGTGTCAAATCGGACTCCGGCAAAGCGGTGAAGGTCTACGTCAACGTAAGTGAAGAAGAACGTTTTCCAAACATGTTGATGCATTTCCAGGATACGAGTGGAACCAATTGTGTGAAGGTTACTATCGGAGGTCAAACAGATACTCTGTGTCCAAAAAGTTCAACGACTGCTTTCTCATCCACCTCGGCGATTGATGTGAGTGCGGACTCCGTCACGACCACAACTGCTACAACGACAGTAACACCTACAACTACAAAAGCCTCAAGTCCACCAGCATCAGCGAGTGAGGGAGAAAACAAAGGAAATTCAAAAGATACATCGAAGGGAAATGGGGCAGTATCCCAAGAAGGGGACAATGACGGAAAAGAAAAGTCGAAGAAAGAAAAGAAGGCAATAATGGAAATGTCAAAAATGGGTGTTCCTGTTGCTGGAGCTAATCGCCTAATGAGACAAGCCAGAGATGCTTCAACTACCGCTGGATCTGACGACGTGACGGTGTACTACGTGTTGGGTGAGTGTGAAAGGGCAAATTGATATTCCAGTCAAACAAATGTTTGAATGATATATTCTCCATCGTTTGAAGGACCATAATGCCTTAAGGTGTCATTCATTAATTTACTGTTGTGTTCTATTTCAGATGGTGTTTCAAAGTGCAACCCTTCGTGGCTGATAGTCCTAGGAGTAATGGCACATCTCCTAAACGGCGAGCTATGGTGGGTTGCAAACAATAATAAATGTTCATTTTTTTTGTTTTATCTTATGTGAATTCACTTGTGCGTATTCAGAAAACAGGGTTCATGTGGTTGACTCAAGGTACCATATTTCGGTTTCTGATTTTCAGAACTAAAGAAGAAACATACCAGGATCAAACAAGAAGCCAACAATGTGAAAAACGTGTATAGTACTAACAAACCAACAAAATACAATAATAATAAAGTAGACATATCTGTTGTGAGTTACCGTACCACATGAACAAACTACTTTGGGTGGGCTCCTCAAAAACACATTGTTCATTATCGACTGTGTATTAGAAAACATGACACTCAAATCCTAAATTGGAGCATTAGAGCAAACAATCCCGGGAATACTTCGGGCCAATTAAACCATCATGTTGAATCTGGAGCGAAGATAAAAGAAAAAACTGATCAAAATTTAAGTAAATAGTATACTATTCTTAAGACTTTAATTAGTCACTGTTTTGGAAAAGAAACAGATTGGAGTAAACTATATCAATCCTTCATCAACTTTTTTTTGACAACCAGATTTAAAATTGATTACAAGCGCGATCCAAATTGACGGGATAGTGACCGAACCTTCAGGAAAAATGGGAAGCAAAGTTGAGCTACAAAATATCCACTAGAAGAGGTAGTTGTTTAGACAGTATTTAAACACCATACGTCTCTTTGAATGCAAAAGGATATGTAGGTCATTGCATTTGGTTCTCTGGAATGAGTGTTAACCAAGAGAACCACTTCCTGA